ACAAATAGTTTAGTAAAGCAAATATTAAAACAATTATGCAAGAAATTTTTTTTTTCAAATAAACTAACAAAGCAAAAAAAGCATATTAACGTTCTAAACCACGTTCACGTTCTTTAACTAAATTAGAAATACGTAATTCTCTTAATTTTTCCTTTCTTCGAGTTGTAATAGTCAATCTTCATACTCTAAATTTTCTATTAGTGATATTTAAATTTACAGTATTTTAAAATGATTTAAATTAAATTACATTACATTTTCGAACGCTGACAATGGCTTTTTCCAACAGCGATGCCAATTCTTTTGTGAAATAAATGATCGCATTTTTATCATTTGTATCATATGTTGTTACTGAGTTATTTCAATATGAACTTCATTTTATAAAGTGAAATCCTATAGCAATAAATAGTATTTATGTTCCAGTTCAACATCATTACATATAATTAATTAAATGTCTTGAAATCAACGATCCATTTTTTGGGTATATATTTTTGAATTTAAACCTTAAAATTATTTATTATTACATCGTTAGATTTGTTATGCCAAAATACTTAATTTAAAATGCATATTAATAGCTATCATACACATGAGTATGATAATATCATACGCAACTTCTTTGGTGCTCCCGATTATACTTCTTTAGGTAGGACTCACGCATCTCAAAGTCAAAATTTAATCTTACGCAAACCTACGTCTATTCAAATCTCAGGTACGAAATATATCTATTGGTCTTTTTACAGCTCATAGACAGATAAAATTTGTAGGTCACGCTATCTTCATAAATTTTGTTCACATATTGGTACATTGTTTAGTCTTTTTATATTTATTAAAAAAAAAAGAGAAACCATCGATGCAGAAAGTGCGGCCTCGTCAGCAAGGTAACAGGAGTTACCACGCAAGATTAATTTAGCTTTAAATGTTGGGTATTAATACTTGTTATTTTATTCTTAAAATATTTATAATAGCTGTTTATATATAATACTTACTTGTTATCTTTATTATAATTTAATTTATAATTATTATATTGAAGATTCAAAAAAATTAACATAAAGAGAGTCTGCAGATGCTTTATCTTTAATTCAAGATTACATTTTTAAGATTTAAAAAACCAACATGGTATTTTTGCAAAGTGAATCTGCTTACGCATTTTTTTTAATCAAAAAGAAATTAATAGTGTTATTGTAGTATACTTGCTAAACTTTTATTATTTTTGATTCAAAAAATTTCGAAACATGTGTAGTATTATATAAAATATATTTGTCGATACTTTTTTACTTATAACCAAGATCATTATCGTTAATACGTATTCAAACAAATCAGACTAACACCCTTTTTTTTTTCTAGTCAAAGTTCATTCTTTTAAAAATTCACACAAGTTAGAGTGAGACATTCTTACAAAGTGACAATGCTCTCCTTCCTTCCGATCCAAGATCATTATACTCAAGATTCAAAGAAATCAGTGTGACGTTCTCGCCAAGTGCATCCGCTAATGCTTTTCCTCCTTCTGATCCAATACTATTAGTATTAAGATCCAAAAAAGTTAGTGTATTATTATTACGCAGTGCATCTGCCAATGCTTTTCCTACTTTTGATCCAAGGTTATTCCAACCAATATTCAAAGAAGTTAGCGTGATATTCGTGAAAAGCACATCTGCTAGTGCTTTTCCCCCTTCTGATCCTAAATTGTTACGAGCAAGATTCAAAAAAGTTAATGTATTATTCTTGCATAGCGCATTAGCTAATGCTTTTCCTCCTTCTGATCCAAGTTTATTATGTTCAAGATTCAAAAAATTCAATGTGGCATTCTTACAAAGCGCATCTGCTAATACTTTTCCTCCTTCTGATCCAAGATAATTATAACCAAGGTTCAAAGAAGTCAACACGGTGTTCATGCAAAGTGCATCTGCTAATGCTTTTCCTACTTCCGATCTAAAAAGATTTTTAGCAAGATTCAAAGAAGTCAGCGTATTGTTCTTGTAAAGAGCCTTTGCAACCGCTTTCCCTTCTGATCCAAGTTTATTACAAGCAAGATTCAAAGAAGTTAGGGTGGTGTTCCTGCAAAGTGCACCTGCTAATATTTTTCCACCTTCTGAACTAATTTCAGTATTATTAAAATTCAAAGAATGTAATGTAGTGTTTTTGCAAAGAAGATTTGCTAATTCTTTTTCTCCCTCAATACCAATATGACTATCCCTAAGACTCAAAGAAGTCAAAGTAGAATTTTTATTAACGATATTTAACAATAAATATATTGTCTTAAATTTGATATTATATAAATCAAGAGAGGTAATAGTAGTGTTCTTACAAAGATTTTCAAAGATTTTTTGATCGCAAATAATTTCATTAAGACTTAAATATTTAAGATTTTCACAAGTTCGTATAAACATTGCAATCAAAGAACATCTAATAGCATTTTCAAGCTTATGCTCTGTTTGATATATTTCAAAAAGCCAATTTTTAATTCCATCATATAAAAAAAAAGTGTTAACCGATGTGATATAACTTGTATATTTAAACAAAAGTTTTGAACGCCTTGGAAGATTAATTTTGAAAGGGGATAATAGAGCTCGCTCCTCATAATTTAATGTCAAAAGTAATACTCTTATAAGCTTTTTATTTTTAAAATGGTTATTTGGCTCACTCCACAATATTGGTATAATAATTCTACACCATTGACGGTTTACAAGTGCACATGAAAATAAACTTTTAGAATTAGGCCGGAGGTTATTAAATATTTGAAAGTAGCATTCATATGGTAATGTTATCATACTGTATTTAAAAACGATCAAAAATTTTAGTACATACGTACGGAGTTTTACTCCTGGCATATATATACGTAGTCAGAATTAGAGATGGGCAGGGTAATTACCTTATTACGTAAAAATTAAATCACACTATGCGACAATTTACTAACAGTATATACTTATAACTAATATCATTCCAAATTGTCGCGTAGTGTGATTTAACTTTTTGCATAATACTGTAATAAGTAATTAAATGTTATAAAGACTGACTGTCGTATGATTGGCTGTGTAATTGATTATTTATAAGTTTAAAGTACTTTTTTTAAATATATAAAAAAGTATATAGAAAAGTTTTATTAGCACTGTAAGGACTTGCTTTAGAGAAATTAACTTAGTTCTATATACCGTATTTTACCGTATTTTTAAGAAGTCGTTATTTATGCTAAAACCAAAGAGAATCTTTATTTTTATTATTAAACTATGTAAATATTAAATAGACAGCCAATCAGATGAAAGTCATCCTATGAAGCAATCATGTAAAACTTAACAAAAGTAAAAACCGCAAAAAAAAGAAAAAGAAAAATGGCAGTTTAAACCTATAGTATTGATCTTAATCCTAAACTCAAATTCTAATAAATTAGAAAAAAAAATTGCTATAAACGCACCCAAATTTAGGAAGAATAACGTCGACTAACGGATAAAAACTCAATCATTTTATCAATATTAATAGAACTTGCACATTTCGACTTACTAACAATTAGTATATAGCAGGCAGAGTGATAATATACCGTTGCCAATTAAGCCAGAATCCAACACATAAAGACTAGTTCATATGCGAAACAGTCCTCGTAGAAAGCCACAATATAAGCCATTATTGCAAATTTCTGCACTTTTGATGTATTATAAATCTTTAAGGATTCCGGAATTGGAATGGGAATCTGACTTTTGATAAAAACAGATTATCATACATTTTCAAATTAAGTGACGTATCAATTTTGTTTCACGTTCCAAAAATACTCCATTTCATAAACTTTTTGAAATATATTTGTTTAATGAAAATTTCTAAACATACTTTATAGTTATTATAGTTGTAGTGGATAATCTAGTTACACACGGGTTCATATTCCGTGATGAAGGCACGGGATTTAAATATGAACCCATGTGTGTAACTAGGTTATTCTATACCCATACAATAACCATCTTATTGCACAGTGTCTGACGTAACAATCCCGTGCCAATAAGTAAATGAAAACAAGCACGGGTTGTCACATAAGACCCGTGCAATAAACTAGTGTATGTAACAGGAGGAACCGTCTATGTAACCTACACTGGTATACAGCACATAAAAATATCATTTTACAATACTAGATCATTCGTTTTCACTAATACCCAACGGATCAAGATATTTTTATTACTAATCCCTCACCTGCCTGTTGGATTATAACCAAACAGGTGAGGGATTATAATCGTAACATTTACCGGCGGAATGATATGGTATTGTTAAACATCGACGGTTCCTCCTGTTAGTGTACGTACACATAATTTGTTTAATTTGCTGTTTGTACTAATAATACAAACCTAAAAAGGAAAACTCACTGTAAATTAAACTATGTCGTATATTAAAATTTTGGAGTTAGACAGTTAAAGTTAGAAGTGATAGAATAAGAAATAAATAATCGTTTCCTACATGTAAAATTTCATTTCCATCATTTTAATTAATACTCTAAGACAGGTTTGTTTTCTTTTTTTTTGGAATAACCACTGGTAACCAATATCTAGGCCAATACAAAAAGTCAAAATCCTAAAAACTTAATTATATGTTCCGGAATATTCCGAAAACTCAAAGATTCCCATGCGACGGATTTTTCTAGCATCTAAAATATTTTGTATGTAGAATTAAAATAAACCAATTTTGGTTGGATTTGGATATTTGGTTGTGGTAATATCGCTAGTGCTATTTTAGCTGCTAGAAAAATCCGAAGACTCTGCCCCCCGACATCACACGACATGATAATTAAGTTTTATAATTTTGACCTAGATATGATATGATTTGTATCACTTGCACAAATAAGTGCTGTCATTATTGTTATGGTTAGGACTAGAATTATATTCAAGGTTAGTGCAAGTTTGCAAGTTTTAAAACAACCTTGAATGTGTCGATGAAGCGAACTTTTCTGTTATACTGCAGAATTTATTCACCATAAAGTTAACCCTTTAAAAGAATTAACAAAGATACTTTTTGATAGTTTAATTTTTTTAATGATACGGATTTTAGAAAGATGCCTAAGGTCGTTTGTCTGCTTCTTATTTTTCATACTAGTAATTTACAATAGTGCACTTCTTTTTCAAGAATTTTTACAACCTTTATTTAACCCTGATATCAACGCCAAAGAACTATGTTCAGATTGTACCAATACTCTTGGTTTTGAACATATTTACGTTATTAATCTTGACTTTAGGATAGATAGACGTAAAAAAATGGAAGCCCTAGGAAATTATCATCATCTGAATCTCGATATTATCAAAGCCATTAATAAACATGATACTGTAGCACTTAGCAGACTTAATAACAGTAATTTAGATAACGGTGTTAAGGCATGTTATCTAAGTCATTATACAATCTTCGAATCAATCGTCAAGAATGGATATGAAAGTGCTTTAATTCTTGAAGATGACGTAGATATGGAACTTAATATTACCAATATTATGACTGAAGTTCATCATAATTTACCTAATAATTGGGATATGCTGTATCTTGGTCATTGTGCTGTGTACGGCAACAGATACTTCCAAACCAATTTAACTGTTCACGTACTTCATACATCGGGACATCCACAGTGTTTACATGGTTATGTCGTTTCAGCCGAAGGTGCCAAGAAATTAGTAGAAAAACTTAACATAGATAACCCAAACGATCGCATCGATATGGATATACCTGCCCTTATTATAAATGAAGAAATCATTAGCTATTCAATTTATCCACCGATCGTCGTACAGTTTAAAGGTGTGAATGATTTCTCGGATGTTTCTCCTACAATAGACGGAGTCGGAACCGGAACCTATCCTTTAATGAACTCTACCTTACGTTTTCTTGGATACGATCCAAATGTCAAAGATCCAAATACCTTAAATATTCCACATCATTAATATTCTTATTATAATTTTACTATGTTGTGAATTACTAGTACGTAATAAAATTTTTCTTTTTTAAAAAAAATATTAGGTCATGCAAAATTAATTAATTGGTTTTCATAACCCGGCCGAATCAAATTTTGGAAACTTTAAATTCTTTTATATGTTTTACAGCTGTTATCATAAATTCTGGGACACCTGATAAAAAATTAGCCGAATGATTTTTCGGCTTCGACCGATTCGATTAAGCTATTGAGTTCGGCATGATTAATACTTGTTCTACAGATAATTTATTATTATAATGTCGACATATTCAACATGATTGATTTTTTGTTTGAATACCTGCCCAACATGTTACACGAATAGACGCTAATATTAAAAAAGTATGATATAATCAAGAATTTGTCGACTGGTTTAAAATGTAATTCAAAATTCCAAAGTTTAAACATTAATAATGTGTTCAGTAAATAAGCTACTATCACGTGAAATAAGTGACGCCCTGATTGGTCGATATTCGTAATATCACCAAGATTAATGAAAGACAATGCAACTCATACTGGTACGTTGTATGAAATTTTAACTTTTAAACTAAAATTTTGATTAATTTTTTAAAAAATAAGTCTGAAATTTGAAATAAAGTTGTTTGAAACAAGGTATTTCAATGTTATAAAAATAATATTGGTATAAAATAAAAATACAAGTTTAATAAGTTTTAGTTTTGATAATACAAATCTTATAAAACTCTTTCTGTTATCTTAATTTTGTAAAAGTAGAAAAAGAATACATCAAAGTTTACTTAAAATTTACTTTAAGAACCAGATTCTTTGTTACTAAGAAAAAAAAAAGAAAATTCAGAAACAACATAAGTTTAGTAGAATAATTTCTTAGAAAAGTTGTTTATCAAAAACATCAAAAGGTTTTTATAGAAATTTTTAGAAAATTTTTAGAAAAATTAAAAAACTAATTGTAATCCTAAAAAATTGATTGATTAATATGTAAACAAATCACAAAATAAACAATTATGTAAGTTAAAATAAACAAACAGGTAAACAAAGCAATATATGTTTAAACATTTAACAAATACAGAATATGACTAGTCAAATAAGCAATAACAGAAATTAAAATTTTATATAATCTAAATTAAAGAACAATAATAAAAAAGTATACTTGTTTAAACAAGTCAAAAGAACATATTGTAAAAATAAATATAAATATAACAAATTTCTTAGATACAAGTAATCTAGTATAGATATATATTATAAAAATCTTAGTAGATAAATATAAAGAAATATACAAAAATATTATTAAGAAAAAAATTATAACAATAAAAGAAAGTATTTTAATTAATCAAAAGAAAAATGAAAATAAAAATAGCATGTAAGATATAATATATATTAGTAAAGAAAAAATACAAAATATAAAAAAAAGAATAAAACTCAAATCATTAATGTCATAGCTAGTAAGTTAAGAGACTTGTATAAAGAATAAGAAATTAATATCAAAAAAAGAAATTGATGATTTAAACAAGAAAAAAAAAACTAAATAACAAAGTAATAGAAAATGAATCTTATCAAAACAAAAACAAAATAAAGTTAGAAGCACTAATAACATAATTAATAATTTAGAAAAGTAGTCTTAAACAAAGGTATTTAGAAGAAGAAATAGAAATAGTAAACAAAAAAAGAAATAATAAAGCTAATAAACAAACAGAAGTTCTTCTAAACAAAACAAAAAAAAATGCTTAAGTATTCAGATAAAATAAATATTAAAAATAAAATAGTTCTGTTAATGACAAAGCATAATATACATAATTTAGAAATAAAAGAATCAAAGAAACTAATATTTCTAAATATAACAACAGAACAAAAAAGAATATAATAATAGAAAAAAAAAAGAATTCAGAAAATAGATTTTATAAAGATATCCATACATCAAGATGGATACCTAAAAATATAAATAATTCTATATGGTTTACTAAAAATAGATCAAAAAATCTTGAACAAAAGAAGGTGCTAAAGCAAGAATAAAGATAAAATAAACAAACTAAAATAAAAAATAATTTAACAATAATGTTAATAATTTAGGATTTGTCAAAAAATGTAAAATATAAAAGAATTACATATTGTCTAAGTTTTTATAAAAAAACAAAAATATTCAAATAGAAAATTCATGGATCAAAGTTAAAAGTCATAGCAAAAATAGATAGAATAATAAAGCTGATAGCCTTGCAAAGAAGAGAACATTAAGTAGGAAAATAATTTTTTCAGAAAAAGTTAGCTATGAAGAGATAGAGTACTGCCTAGAGTAGGAAAACAAGCAAATAGACATACTTGCAAGACTTCTATATAAAATAGTAACAAATGCCAGACTGGAAATAGAATAAAAAAAAATAATAACAATCAAGAATATTGAACCAGAAGCAGAAATAATGATATATAATTGGATATACTTTTGGAGAAGGCTAGATTCATCTAAAGAAGTACACTACCTAACAAGAAGAAGTAATACAAAAAAAAATGCTTTCATGAAATGTATATTGGACAAACTTCCAATATTGGAGGAACTTAATAGAAGAAGGTCAGATATATATACAATAGCAGAATGTCAAGTTTGCCAAAGCAAAGTTAAAAAAATACAAGAACATTTGGCATCATATAAGGAACAAGTAAATCTATAGAAAAGGATATAGAAAGTATCTATCATGACAACATGGAATAGTTTAAAAAAAAAAAAAAAGATATGAGTCCCACCTCAAGTATTATATATAGCACTTTTTGGACAAACAGAGTAAGAAGAAATAGAAATAAAAAAAGCACTAATCAAAGGCCTAATCACAAGAACAATGCAAGACAGGTTATCTCAAATCTTAAGTACAAAAACAAGACAACATTTTGTAAACATATTAGTAGAAACAATATGGAATACATTTTATGAACAAGTTTGGAGAATTTGTTGTAAAAAGATCAACATATAGGAAAAAAGAAAGAGAAATAATGAGTAAAGAGAAGAAAAAAAAACTAAAGAGAAAAGAAAAATTCAAGTATAAAGAAGGAAAGAAAGACTAATTAGCAAGCACTAGAAGAAAGGAAAAAAAAAACAAAAGAAAAAGAAGAGTGAATAAAAAAAAAAGTTAGGAAGACAATTAATAAGCTTGTCATAAAAGGAGAAAGACCCTTTTATTATGGACTTTAAGTAGTTAGACAAGCAGCTTACTTTTGCTAAAAGTAATGCAGCAGATTGTACTGAGATGCCATTAGGGTAGCCAGGTAATGCTAGACTTAGTTATTAGGTAAATTTATGTAATTATAGTAGTAGTTTTAAAAATTTTAATAAAGCACTAGCATGACTACTTAAAAATAAAAAAAAATAAAAAAAAAATAAAAAAATAAAGAATTCTAAAAATAACAAAGGTAGTATTAGTACAATTACAGGTTGAAATTAGAAAAGACTAAAACCTTTAGCATTAAGCTGGTTAGTATATTTCAAAAAAAAAATCAATGTGTAAAATTATACCAAGAAGATTTAATTTTGAAATACTAGAAGAAAGAAAAAACACAAGACAGCATTACAAGATATTTCAAAATTAGCTTTAGAGTTAACTTTGTTAAAACAACTAAGATCTTTAGAAGTAAAAACATTATTTATACTAAACAATAGTAATTGTAATAAAAGAAATATAACTTTGTAGACTTTGAATCTGAAAAAAATTGCCAGAAAGCAAATAAAAAAAGTGTTTTTTATTATTATAACAAGTTATTTTGGTATAAAGGAAAACAAGCACTAAAAAAAGAAATAGAATTAAATAAATCAGATCAAGAAAATACAGAGGAGTATTGTGATAAAACATAAGAAAAAAGATCAAGTTTTTAAGACATATAATTTTGAATATAAGAAGCCAAAATTAATTAAATTTGAAGTAAATATAAAAAAAAACAAAAAGTAGAATTAAAAAGCAGTACAAAACAAAAAGAAGAAACTTTAATAATACAATAAATTAAAGAACATCAAAATTTACTACAAGAAATATTAAAAAAGTTTAATAGTTTAGACAATAGGTAGGTAAATCTTGTATATAGTTTCTAAAAAGCATTTTAGTTGAATCAAAAAACCTTGATACAGAGAAAATAAATGCTTCAAAAATATTGAAAAATAGTAAAAAAATTTTCTTTAATCAAGAATTAATATACAAAGAAGCATCACTTAATAGAGTCAATTAGAAAAAACAACTTGGAACTAAACATCACATGTTATAATATTAATAAAATGAAAAGTAATAGCCATAAAATAAAATTAATATTTAAATAGATTTTGAACAATAAGATAGATATACTAGATTTGGCAGAAACAAATATTAGTAAAAAAGAAAGATTTTTTTATTTTGTAAGATTTGAACAAATATAGAAGTTTCTGGTCAAATTCAAATACAATAAAAAAAAAGGTTTAGAAATTGAAATATTAATAGAAAAAAAATGAAAAAGACATCTTGGTCAAATAAATAGAATTAATAAATATATAATAGTAACAAATTTTATATTCAAGCAACTAAAACTCATAATTATAATAAGGAGTATAATAATTTAGTAAAGTGGATAAGTTGTCAATCTCCAAGTAACAGGTCTAAAGTTTAAATCTCAGTGACAATGAAAATTTGCAATTCTTTCTGTGTTTTTTTTTTTTAATGTTAATAGTAAGACCATGCCTCTATTTTTATTGAATATTTAATTGAGATTTTATATAAAGTACAATTCTGCTTTTAAAATATTATAGAAAGAATAGAAGCTCAGACTAATTTATCTGTGACCTAAACCAATTGGAGTGGCCAAGGCTCACCTAGATTTGAGTATTAGTAATTATGTATAAAGGATTAGTTTGATATTTAATCTATTGAATATACCAAGAATTTATTTTTGACCTAATAGAATTGATTAAGAGAGAATGTGATAAAAGTGAGACAGTGTTTGAAAGTGTGTTATATTTAGGAGTTTGGGCTGTAGATCTTGAGATACAATATAGAA